TACTCAAAGAATGAACCGTATCGTTGATAGGATAATAGACGTGCTAGATATGGAAAATGATTAGTAAATAGCATGTATAAAGGATTTGAATGAAACGAACCATTTGTTTTCAAGAGTTGCACATAGAATTGAGCAATTGTAGGTAACGCAAAGTGCAGTGTCAACGTCCGAAAATGATAACATGCCTATAACAAGATAAATATCAAGACTCTTGGTTCAGTCAATGCGATTATCGTTTGTTTTGTCTCTTTCGAGCTGTTTGAGTGTTAGTGTCGTTTATAACATGTTTATATTGTCCTCCACGACGTCTGTTGCCATTTTTTCTTTTAAGTAGACTGAAATTGGAATCAGATGTTTGTAAGTGTTCAGTGGTTGATTCCCACATTATACAGAAATATCATGTTGACAAATAGGACATATTTTTGAAAAAAAAATGAAAATTCTTCTGAAAAGAGTTACAAATCTCTTAGGTAAACTTTTAACAAATGGTGTACATATTCCCTCGACTGAAGGGAGGGTCACATGAAAAACGATGCGTCCGTTTGTGTCAGAGTCAAAGATCAAAAAAACATCCATTGATTTTTGGGAAGGTCTTTCCACCCTTATTATAATGAGAACACATGATCATGTTCGGGCCGATCCTAGGGTTATTGAGAATGCTTCATTGATTGATGGGTATATGTGGGGATCTCCATCCAGTGAAACACGGCGAAATACAATGCTCGCATTTGTCATTGAGGATCTAAGGGTACGGTGACTATAGTTGCATTAGAGAATCCAATGGTGCTCCGCTATAGTAGCTCTTGAGATCCCAAGGGTACTCCCTATTACAGCCCTTGAGGACCGAAATGCACATGCTATCATGTGCCGGTTAGCAGTTACCGCGTGATTGGTAAGGATTCCATTCCCGTGTAATAGTAACGGTAACGGGAAGTTCTCGCACCTAGTCATATGGAGATATCCGTAGGCCCTCAAGTCCTGTAATAGGGGGTACCCGTAGGTCTTCAAGTGCTATACTATTGAGAGTAGCCCGAGGTCCTGAAGGCCATCATATGTAGGTACCCCTAGATCGTGAACGACTATCATATGGAGACACTCCTAGGTCTTCAAATCCTATACTATGGAGGGACCCGTATGTCTTGAAGTGGTATCACATGAAGGTACTCATACGTCCTGAACTGTTGTACTATGGGGGTACCTATAGGTCGTTAAGGGCTGTTTGTTGAGATCCAGATGGGTCCGCAAGCGCTATTATTTCAGGTTGTCTATAGGTCTTGTTGATGTATTCTGTTAGTGTACCTTGAATTTGTAAAGCGGTATATTATGGGATCGCGGTTGGTCCTCAAGGTTAACCCTTTTGGTATCTGTGAATGCTTTCCTTCGAGAATTGGCGAAGTGTTTCAGCATCAATTATCAGCCATAGTTGCGAAGACATTAGAATAGTGCCGGAATCTTTGATTATTGAAGACACTCGATTAAAAGCTTTCTTTCAAATATGAAAAGATATGTGCATTAAAATAGTCGGTGATGCCTGTGTCACTTGTAGAAATGAAATCAGATTTTCGAAAGAAAGGACTTTTAAAAGAATTAGAAAATCAATAGGAATTCTGGAAAAACTCAGAAATGGGGGAAAATGTTTTGAACAATCCTTTGAACGATGTCTTTATAGCAGTCATTGTGCATTCACGTATAGAAGTCATAGCTGGTAGTATGCTGCATTCTCTATTATCGCGAGCAGCTGTAGTGAGTTGATAAATTATACGTTTACATTCAAACGAGTTAAAGATTTATTTTATTCGGTGAAGTTATCTGAATGGAATGTGTGGATGCGGGTCAGCGTGTGGGGAGTGGGTGTGAGTGTGTAGATGTGAATTTGTGTCTTTTCTTCATCTAGACCACACACCCACACCCTGTTAGGCCTGTAACACGAGAATTCACAATGGCAATAGTTAAGTCAAAGCGTCACTGTAAACTATATCTGATTTCCTTAATTTCATTCTGTAATTGAACAGTCAGAGTCTTATTACAATTTCTCATTAAAGAAATATTAGTAGTATTCTCAAAAAAATTAAGCTTTTAAACTTATCTTTCGTGAGAGAAATCTGCAGAATAATTGCAATATGAATTTTTAGTCATTCGTTTTATATGATAGCGCTTATAAAAACAGTTTGTTTATTGTTCATTTAACATAAATTGAATAGCATCATTTTTATACATCAATTTTTTATTACTTTCTTCAAATTATCACATTGAAAATTTCAGGAGCTAGCTGGCGATTCTCCAAACATATACAATGCTAAAAAATTGGTTTTTTATAATAATAATAATGAATAACAATCTGTTGGCATATCCCATTTTAAGACTCTGCCTCATCTATGGATAGATCTCTTCAGAGCATGGATATAACCATATGAAAAAAGTGGAAGAAATATGCTCTCAAAATCAGTTCTGCTGAAAAATTGTTAGGACATCTAGTTAATTTTTATCCATTTCCTCTGTTGTTTCAACAGACGCCGCTGTGTTTCCTTGAACATCAATGGCTTTTCTTGTGCCTTTAAAAACTGCTGCGATACGAAGATTTGATACGGGAGGTACCTCCTGGTGAAATCCCAATTGTACTTTTATAAGAAATATCTAAGGTTTTAAGACGCGAATCACTTCAATCGTTGAGATTTGTGAAGAATGTGGTCGAGGTTTTTCTAATCTGTTAGTCTTTGCAGTTTTTCAAGACATTCCAATAGCTATCTATGTACAACAAATGGTTCCGGTGTCTGTTCGAAACATAGAGAGCACGGATACAAATCACCTAGGTTTTCTTATAACTATCGAATAATCAGGATCGATTTCAGTAGCATATTAATTGCTATCCTTTTCATTAAATGCACGAATAGCTGCAAACAGTTAGTGTTAACAAGAAAAGTTACTGGCTTCATCACTACTTTCATAAAATTGGCAAAATTTGCCAACATTTACTTTCATTTTCGTCTTTCCATACATTTAGACACAATATAAAGCTCACATAAACTATACTTAACTACTGGTATCATTTCAGGATAGAATTCTTCTGAACATCGATAGACTAAAAGGACTTACGTCTGCTTCTTGTATTAGTGCGATGTATATTGTACTAACGAGTGTAATACGTTGATAATGTATTGACGTTGTTTAGTAAAGAAAATGAAAGTATTATTTTGTTTATGTACATATCAAAAATATATTTGGCGTGCGTGCATTCAACCATACACGTGGTATAAAGCATGATCATATATTATTGAGTCAGACTGGGTCTCTTCCCGAAAAAAAATTTCGTTCTTTTGCTTGTTCTATCACTTATCGATCAGACAGCTTGAATAGTGAAGAGAGAAAGTTAATCAATGGTTGGAAAATGTGCATAATATCACGATTTTATTTTTACTTTTCTTTCTATCATTGCACAGGATAGGTAAAATATACAGGCTTCACAGGTGATAGTACGTTGTTTTATACTATCGATTCTGTTGAAATTGAGTTCAAGGGTCCCTTCTGCCTATGGCAGAAGATACTAGTTTCTATTGCCACTTTTGGAGGCATTTCTTGTCCATACATATTTTCCTCGTCAAAATTCGATACTTGGATGAAGTCCTGTCCTCAGGATCGTTTCTGATCCTCACAGAAACTGGGGAGTCACTTTCAACAGCTGCCTCGGCTACCATCGTCCTGTGTATCCTTGTTTTGATTCAGATTCCTTCTCCAGTCGTTACTTCCATTTAACTTACAGTTCAAACCAACATTCTGTACCTATCTCGATGAGAAAACAGCTTCTGGCACCACCTAGTTTCAACTCACAGAATCAGTTACATTATCAATTTTAACCTTGATATGAAGATTTATCAGACTGGTTCTGTTTAGTCAAGACTCTGCCAAACGAAACTTCTCATTCAGTTATTACTCATTGTTTTGTACCATCCGAAAGTTTTTCATGAAACAGTACTCATTATTATTGCAGTTACGTCCTATTTTTGTCTTCAGTTGACATCTTAGCTTTAGAGTGTACTCCCATTTCGATGATGTTCTTAATTAGAGTGGTAGCTTCGAACTAAACTACAATACTCATTGCAGACATGCTTTGGGACCATTGCTTTTGGTATGCTTTGGTAACTGCATCCGATAGTTCATCAAATTTCTAGAATAATCGTTTCAGACGATTACGTTTTTTTGGGCACGAATTCGATCTGATCTTTTTTTGCATTATTTACTCTCTATTTTTTAGTTAAATATGGCATTGCGTCTGCTAGAGAGACAATATTTTATTTCCAATTTTTTTGTAGGCATTTTTATTATTTTCAAGGTTAAGCCCAATGAAAATTGTTATGGTCTTCTTTAGTTTCATGAAGAGGAAACGAAAATTAAAATGAAAAAAAGCAGTTGTGGTATTTTTCTTTTCACAAATAACGGGAAAAGTATGCAAAGAAAACAAGTGCAAAAGCTTGTCAATGCAGCTCCTTTGGAGCTGAGGATGTGGGTGTGGTTGTGGGTGTGGGTGGGGTGTGGTTGCGGGTGTGGATGGGGTGCGGGTGGGGTGTGGGTGCGGGACCCGTATCCACACCCTCACCCACATCCCACAACCTACAACCCACACCCACATTCCACATCCCACACGCACACCCACATCCCACACCCACACTCCACACTCACACTCACACTCACACCCACACTCACACCCCTCACTTCACACCCACACCCCACCCTCCGATCATTTTCGGTCGAATCCGCGCCGAATTTCATCGGCATCCGACATCTTTCATAAAAAACCGATCGGATTCGACAGAGTTTTTGTCGAATTCCCATCGCTCGGAATCCGATAGAAATTATTTAGATTTGACAGAATCCGATCCCCCATGAATCTCCTGGGTGGTCTTTCGTAAGTTTTAAGACAAATCCATGTAGTTACATTCGTTAAGACTCATTCTGCAATTCCGTGCACAAGTGAAACCCTCACTTAATTGCAAACTTTTCAATTTTTATTTATCATATTCCCCATTCCCAATTTCAATTGCAATTCTTCTCAATTCAATAATTTGATTTAGTTCTTCGTCCATCTGTTTGATCATTTCAGCAATAGCTTCTGCAGTTGGATGATTATTTGTAATGCCGTTTATTAATGAGTAAACATCGTAGATTGCAAAAACTCCACTGAGTATTGCTGTACCCGATCTAACAACGGCCATGGCTCCTGTTTTACCCACATTAAAACCAAAATAACCGAGTACTTTCAATAATGTTTCAGATTGCAGTCTCATACCCTTCCAAAAAGTACCTCCACCGCGTAAAAGCATGTTAGAGGTTCCACTCGCCATTTGTGCGCATCTGCTTAGCTTTAATATACTTGCAGCAGATGTTCTGATGCTATTACCGTTTAAGACCAAGTTTTTTAGTGATAAAGCGTAAGCTTCTGTTTCTTCAACATTTAATCTTTTTAGTTCTATGGCCACACGTTCAAGCTCATCAAAATGTTTCTTCAAACGACCGGCTACGTCATTTCTTCGGCCGCAGATACTTTCGATTTGATTGTTTTTTATGTGTGTGGTTATCATATCAGTTATATCAGTTGTAAGGTTTACTGCAGCTCCTGCTGTACTTGCTAAAAAGCCGTAACCAGTTGCGGCTACAATTGAGGCACCACCTGTAAACACAATCAATCGGAAAACTTAATCATTTCATGCTTCTTTTATAAATTCTATTACCTGTAAATGGAGCCAAAATAAGTGAACCTACTACAACGGCTCCGCCGCCAACTGATGCAGCAGTGCCCACTGTCTTGGCAACATTGCATCTTGTACGATGGCTATTAATCCAATCTAATTCTGTTTTTAATTTTTCAATAATTTGATTTGTAATTTCTATAAATTCGTCTAACGTAGCCAAAAAACTATCGTTATCCATTTGAATCGTATAAAATCTTAATGAGGAATTGATGCTTATATCTAGAAATAATGAAAATCTATTCAATCGGTTATTTTAAATAAAAACTTTATCATGTAGTTTCTTAACTGCCATTTTAATCAAATTTTGTAGATGTTTTTCCATTAGCAATACCCCAGTTAGTTATCTCATGCTCATATTATCGTAACTATTGTTCTGTTATATACACAAAAATTGTTCCATATATGAGATTTTTGCAATCGTGTTACATTTATTCCACATAACATGTAATATTTTTGAGAAAAAAAGTGTTGCATTTGAATTACTGCCAAAGGTCAATTACTGTCTACTAGTTGTTTACTGATATTTTATAAGTGGCTTATCGAAATTTAAGTCAAGATTAGGTAGGGCGCTTTAACTTTACTTTAAAAGTTAAAGTTAAAGTGCCATACCTAGTCAAGATCTTTTCGTAATGCTATTACAGCGACACTAATCAAAGTGATATTTTGAGAATAATTTCACGCAGATAAAAGGAAAAAGTCGCTTCTTTCCCACAGGAAGATCATACTGGACAGTTTAAACAACAGTTGATAGCGGAGGTTCAAGCTTCACATTAGGATGCATAAATAATTTCAAAGCAAGATAAAATATACGGCAACGCAGACAACTTCAATGAAAGCTTAGTCTATACATTTTAAAGATATATATATATATATATATAAACGATTTTCCGAATAATAAAGTATATTTTCTTCCATTTTAGAGGTTACTCTACAACGTGATATAAACATTTACTTCGATTTCTAAAGTAAATACTTATGTCTGAAGTGTCGCATTACAGAGAGAAAAAGTTATATAGATGATTAGGTATACTTAGGATGAAAATAAATATTGCAGTATATTGAAGTTGGTTTTGTGCATATAGGGAACAACTTATCTTACGTATTTATATTCAATGAAGTTAGTTGGTTTTTTCCATGTTTATTTATATCAAGCAATCAACCATTCTATTCCATGCATATCATGATGAGATAGACATACAGCTGAGTCCACAAAAACTTGCACATCTTATCATGCAAATATATCTTTACATATATATGTCACTCTCAAGTAGTTTTGTATACTGATTGATAACCTCTGACGAGGACTATTACATACTATATTTCAATATTTTATTCGTTTATCTTTAGAAGAAATAAGAGACAAACATCTTTTTTTCATGGATATCACAGAATTTATTACAACGTTAATGTCAATATTTTTGGATTCTTCAGCTACCCTTGTCTCAATGTTGTCGATTCCTACAGTTTTCTTACTCAGATCTGACAGTTTCTTACTTAATAAGATCTTGGCAAGAGGGTGTGGGTGTGGGTGTGGATGCGCGGTGTGGGTGTGAGGTGTAGGTGCGGGTATGCGTGTGGATGTTTATGTACATCTCTCATACCACTCCTATACCTACACCCACACCCACAACCAACACTGAATTAGAACCTACTTTGGGCGAAAAAAGTCATCATTTTTTCTGTTGCAATAGGCCATTAAAAATTCGTTCCTCTGTATGATCATCTTACTCATACGAACAAGATACACACTGACGTATCTGCACGAGTATTTTTCAGCGTCGAGTTAATGATGTTATTGCATCCTATAATCGCAATCATTTTTGAATTGTATTATAGTTGTGCAAGACAGTATTTCAACATAAATATTTTTTTCTGTTCTGTTTACTCTCTCGCTGTTGAATGCTTCATACAGTCATACAAGCATCTATGAGGACAAGAGCAGGTATAACTTAGAGGGTGACACCCTACAACACCAACTA